CCACCTGCCTTTCGGTCTCCTGAATGCTGGGATTAAAGGCATGCACCACTATGCATGATTGATTTTTTTTCTTTCCTCTCTCTCTCTGATAGGGTTTCTCTGTGTAGCCCTAGTTGTACTGCAACTCACTCTGTAGACCAGGCTGGTCTTGAACTCAGAGAGATCCGCCTGTCTCTGTCTCCCGAGTGCCGGGATTAAAGGTGTGTGCCACCACCGTTCGTCAATTCTTATTTTTAAAAAATCATTTATGTGGGCCGGAGAGATGGCTCAGTGGTTAAAAGCATTGCCTTGTCTTCCAAAGGTCCTGAGTTCAATTCCCAGCAACCACATGGTGGTTCACAACCATCTGTAATGAGGTCTGCTGCCCTCTTCTGGTCTGCAGCATACACACAGACAGAATATTGTATACATAATAAATAAATAAATATTAAAAAAAATCATTTATGTGTATGATTACCTTGCCCGATGTAGCTATGTGTGCTGAGTGTATGCCTGGTACCCTCAGAGGTCAGAAGAGAGTATTGGATCTCCTGGAGCTGGAGTTATAGACAATTGTGAGTTGCCAAGTGAATGCTGGGAAAGGCAGCCAGTGCTATTAACTGCTGAGCTATCTCTCCAGTCTTTTTCTTTTTTTAATTTTTTTTTTTTTTAACGTGGGCTTTTGCTATGTAGCCCAGCCTGGCCTTGAACTCCTCGGCTGAAACAGTACTTTTGCCTCAGACTCCTGAGCAGCTGAACTAGTTTGCTGTACAGCACCATGCCCAGTAAGGGTGACAACATCAAAAGTTGCTTATGGTTATATTGTGAGCACACAAATGCCACAGCATATGGGTGGAGGTCAGGGGACAACTTGGTGCAGTCGGTTCTCTCCTTCCACCTTTACATGGGCCCCAGGCTTGTGTGGCGGCATCTTAGCCTGTGGAACCTGTGAGATGAGGGGCTGGCCTCAGGGAGCTGAGATCAAAGGAGGTGATTTCAGGGTTGGCTTTCTTCTGCATCCTGCCTCAGAGGTGATGAAGACACTTTTACTCAGGGTATAGGGGCAGGGAGGGTACCCGGAATGTGTCTGTGACCTGTGAGGTCAGGGAGCTTTTGCTCAGCATTACAGAGAGCTGAGGGAGCTCTTTCTGCCTGGATGCAGACAAGGGCAATTTAGGGATGTTTTATTCTAGTGTGCCATTGAGGGGACACGGGACATGATGGCAGGAGGACATGATGGCAGGAGCAAGAGGCGGGATGAGCTGCTTCTCAGCCACTTTCTCCTTTTTTTTTTAAAGATTTATTTATTAATTATGTATACAACATCTGCCTGCATGTATCCCTGCAGGTCAGAAGAGGGCACCAGATCTTATTACAGATGGTTGTGAACCACCATGTGGTTGCTGGGAATTGAACTCAGGACCTCTGGAACAGTCAAGTGTTCTTAACCTCTGAGCCATCTCTCAGCCCCACTTTCTCCTTTCTAGTCAGCCTAGAACCCCAGCCTATGGGGTGGTACTACCCACGTAAGTGTTAGGTCACCTTAGTGAACCTAATCTAGAAACTCTCATGCCCAGCCCAGAGATTTGTCCTCAAGGTGATGTTTAGACTGTCAAGTTGCCTGCTTCGATGAAAAATCTTAAAGGGAAAAGACAAGCCTGTCAATTTCCCTCTGTCCTAAAATACAATGCCCAGAGTGGGGTGTCCTAAGCCCTAACATATACCTTGCTGTATGACCTTTCCTGGGAAAAAAATGAATAAATTGTATTTCCCCTAAGTGGAGCTCTGGTGCTACCCACGCCCACCTTAGTAAACCACAGCCGGAAGTGGGGGCAGGTGTTGGCTCCTATCCAGACTAAGGTGGGAGTCATTGAGGATTCCTGAGCTGAAGAGAAACCTGCTGTGACTCAGGTGCCTCCTGTGGTTTCTGGGGAACATACTAGCTGGGGTGATAGCAGGAGGAGGGGTCTAAGGAAGAAGCGAATGGGCTGGTTAGGAGTCAGAGTAGGAAGAGGAAGGGATAAGAACTCTTAGACACCAGTGGGCGCTGTTGGGTCAGGGTCAGATACTGCTTTATTGTCTCCATGGCCTGTGATGGTTCTGGCTGGAACACTCTGGAGCCCGAGATGGACATGCGTGTGCTTGTGAGCCATGTGGCTGCAGGGCCAGAAGGCCACTGGCTCATGCAGTTCCATCCAGAGCTGGATATGGCCACAGTGCAACCTTGGTGTAGTGGCTTCTACCCACCTTGCTACTTTGCTAGCCCAGGCGTGAGACCCCTTGAGCATGCCGGTGCCGTGCTGGTCTCCAGCAGACCTTCAAACACTAGAGGCCAAAGCCTCAGCTCTTATCTAGAGTCCCATGAAAGAAACTCACAGGGGAAAGGAGAGAAGTGAGCACAAAAGTGAAGAGGGGGGAGAGGGAGGGAGGCAGGGAGGGAGAGATCCTGAGAGGAGCAAGAAGGTCATCAGAACCTGAAACCTAAACATCAGAATCCCTGGTGGGTTGCCACTTTGTTTGTTCTAGATTTTCTGAGACAGGGTTTCTCTCTGTGGCTCTAGCTATTTTGGAACTCGCTCTGGAGACCAGGCTGGCCTCAAAACTCACAGAGATCCACCTGCCTATTAGGTGTGAGCCACCACTACCCAGCCTTGTTTGTGGATTTAAAGACTTACTTTGATCTTTCTCTTTGTCTCTGTGTGCGTCCTTGTAGAGTTCAGAGAGAGAATCTAAATTGAAGTTACCAACTTGATGTAGTACTGGGAACGGAGCTCTACGAATATTCTAGAAAAGAGTAGCTAGCATTTGGGAGGCAGAGGCAGGTGGATCTCTGTGAGTTAAGAGGCCAACCTGATTTACAGAGCTAGTTCTAGGACAGATGAGGCTACACAGAAAACCCTGTTTATAAAAACCAAATAAATAAATAAAAAGAAACCAACTATTTTTAATTTCTCTCTCTCTTTTTTTTTTTTTTTTTTTTTTTTGAGACAGGGTTTATCTGTGCATTGAGTGTCCTGGAACTCACTTTGTAATCCCAAATGCTGGGATTAAAGGTGTGTGCCACCACTACCTGGCTGGGAACTTTGCTTTAAAGAAAGATTGTTGGGTGTGTGCACTAAGGTGCCCTTGGATGTCTGAAGACAACTTTATGCAACGCTTGAGTGGAGACCAGGCCTTCAGGAAGGAAAGGTGAGTGCTCTACCCACTGGGTGGCATACTGGTCCATGTGTGGTCCTAGTGTGGAGGGTGAGTTTCACGGTGGAACATGTGGGGTGAAGGTGACACACCAACTCCCCATCACTGCTATTTTTCTAGCAACTGGCCTGGTGTGCTTCGTTGTGTCAACAAATGGTTCCAGGATCACTGTGTAAGACACACCTCTTCCTAAGACATTTCCACCTTCCAGATTCAGTACCCCTCCTCTAGAACCCCGATGCACTCCAACCCCAAGCACTCCTGAAACGCAGGCCTGGATCTCGTGGTCTCAGAGAAGTATTACCTGTGAAACGGACAGACTCCCTTACATGCTGGAATCTGGACAGCTTAGGCACTGAATGGGACCAGCAGGGAAGAGGAGAAAGGCCACCACAGGCCAGCAGGGGAGGGGCTGGAAGGGGCTGTCACCAACCTCAGGCAAAGGGCAGCTCGGGACTAGGCAGGCCTGCGCTCTGACCCTTGTCTTCATGACACCTGGCAGTGCACATGACACTGAAGCCAATGTGTGTCTGTACCGGGTCATTTCCCTTGTAAATCTAACACTAGTTAACTGACCCTCAGATGAGAAGAGGCAGGTCCCAGCCTCATAAAATGGCTATTTCAATTATGTAGTCAACAGCATAGAAAAATGATGTGTACAGTAACAACAAAAGAGAGGGAGCGCCCATTCTCTTTGTGAACAGCTGGAATACATTCTAAACAGCTGGACAATGGCACAATGGCAGCCATTTCCGACCACAAGATAGCTGGATGTATGGGTGCTGGTTCTGACACTGAAGAGGGGCCAGCTCCAGACTTCTGCTGGGAGAAACACAAAGTCACACAAAACCTGTCAAGCTCACTTTGTGCTGCTGTTTAAAATGAACGATATTATCATACTCATGTGTTGGTGTGTTATGTACACCTTTTTTTAGACAGGCTTTATTTATTTATTTATTTACTTATTTATTGAGTTGCCCAGCAGGAGCCAGATTTTATTATTTTTTTTTATGAGACAGAGTTTCTCTATGCAGCCCTAGCTGTTCTGGAACTTGTTTTGTAGATCAGGCTGACTTCAAACTCACAGAGATCCACCCGCCTCTGTCTCCTGGGAATAAACAGATTCTATTCATTCATTCGTTTATTTATTTTTGGATTTTTGAGACAGAGTTCTAGCTGCCCTGGAACTCACTCTGTAGACCAGGCTGGCCTTAAGCTCACAGAGATCCACCTGCCTCTGCCTCCCAAATGTTGGGATTAAAGGCCCGAGTTACCAGGTCCAGCAAGACTCAGATTTTAAATGCCATTAAAAAAACTTGTGTTTAGTCAAGTGGTTGTGGCACATGCCTGAAGGAGCATGGAGGCTCTTCTCCAAGACTGTCTTAGAGCACAATACGCTGGATTGGACTGGGGCCTGGCCTGTGGCTTTGAAGATACAGGGACTTTGTGCTGCAGGCACTTGTGCCTATAGTGCCATCTACCCAGTCCAAACGAAGGACTGTCCCATATGGATGTGTATATGAGCAGAACGTGTATGCATGTGCACATGGCTAGTGTGTGTTCATATGCACATGCAGGCCAGAGATGGACATTGGGCATCTTCTGTGATTGATTTCCACCATATACATTGAGATGGAGGCTTTCACTTGAACCCACAGCTCACTGATTTGGCTTGCTTGGTAGGTGTGGGTGGTAGGGATGCAAACCCCAACCTGCACCTTTGACATGGCCATTACTTTGCCCATGAGCTGGTCCCAGTTACCAAAGGTCTTTGTTCTCTGTGATCCAGACCCTACTATAACAACAAGGAGTAGAGAGGCCAGCAGTGGTTTGTCATTGGTTTAATTTATTACTGTCTGACTCCAGTGACACTGACATACCCGCGGGGCCTGCGAACCTCCTGGAGAGTCGGCTCTGTCCAGGAAGATACAGTACAAGGAGTGGACTGCACGCGCATGCATCCACGCTGAGCTACAGTGACTGGGGCCCGGGGAGGTGGATGGTGCCTCCAAGAGGTCCCCTCTCTAGTCAGTTAATGCTGGTAGAGACTCAAGGCCAGACCAGGGCCAACAGACAGGCCTATTCTTCTCTGCCTATAAATGTGGAAGATTGAATGTGTACAGTTCTCCAAGTTCGAAACTACATCTGGTGCTACCCATCACTGCTAAGGGCTACTCCATCTTGGCTGGGACGTGCGCCTCGGGGTCAGGACTCCGGAATGTCTGCTTCAGTCCTCCTCGCTGCCACTTCCTGAGCGGTCCTGGAGGAATAGGGGACAGGTCTGAGTGGCCGCCACCTAGGCACTCTCCTGAGTGCTGGGGAAGAGCCTATGGATCTCAGATCCCAAGGAATAAAATACCTTGATACAGCAGAAAGAAAACATTAAAACTTGGGCCCTGCCCTGCAATATGGCAACCCTGTTACCAGTAAGCCTGTTGTATAGGAGAGAAACTGGCTTGGGGGTGAAGGATAGACCACTATGGAATGCTCCAAGAGGCAATCGGCCCATTATAGCTATTCTGAGTATGAACATTTGTCCTGTTTTCTGATGGTTATTTTGGTATTTGTCTAATGCAGCTCAGACCAGACTCAAACTTGCTATGCAGCCAAGGATAACCACGAGATCCTGATTCTCCTGCCTCTACCTCCCAAGTTCGGGGATCACAGGTGCACACCACTATGTCTGCAGTCATTATTATTTACTTATGTTTTTTGGAGACATGGTTCCTCTGTAGCTTTGGAGCCTGTCTTGTAGACCAGGCTGGTCTTGAACTCACAGAGATCTGCCTGCTTCTGCCTCCTGAGTGCTCGATGAAAGGCGTGTGCCACCACCGCCAGGCTGCGGTCACTATTTTATTAAGATTTATCTTCAGGGCTGGAGAGATGGCTCAGTGGTTAAGAGAACTGCCTGTTCCTACAGAGGACCCGAGTTCAGTTTCTAGAACCTACACGGTGGCTCACAGCATTTTCTAACTCCAATTCCAGGGGACCCAATGCCCTTCTTCTAACCTCCATGATCACCACGGATATTCATCGCACACACATGCAGCCAAAATATCAATACAAAAGAACAAACAAACAAACAAGAAAGACTTGGTTTTTGTTTTCTTTTGAGTTAGGGTCTCTATCTTGGCTGCCTGCCTCTGCCTCTTTACTGCTGGGATTGAAGGTACAGCGCCACAGCTGGCTTGTTTTCATATGTAATGTTCAGGTGTGTGTCTGTGTGTGGGCCTGAGTATGTGCACTCAGGTTAGAGGCCTGGGAACCCCTGGCGCTTGAGTCACCCCCGAGTGCTGGGAACTGAATTCTGGTTTTCTACACAAGCAGTTAATACTCTTAATCTCTGAGCCATCTTTGCAGAACCTCCCCATTTTATTGGTTTTTCAAGACTGGGTTTCTCTCTGAAGCCCCGGCTGTCCTGGAACTCACTCTGTAGATCAGGCTGGCCTCAATCTCAGAGATCTGACCTGCTTCTGCCTCTCGAGAGATGGGATTAAAGGCAGGTATCACCATCGCGTGGCTCCATTTTAATTTTTAAAATATGTGTATGAGTGTCTTATTCACATGTATGTTTGTGTATCATGTGTGCCTCATGGCTACAGAAACTGTAGGAGGACACTGGATCCCTGGGGACTGGAATTATAGATGGTTAGAAGCCCCTGCATGGGTGCAGGGAATTGAATCTGAATTGGAATAGCTCCTACCTTTCCAGTCCTCTTTATTTTTAACTCACTGGTCCTATGTGGAAACTCCCATATAAGCCAAGGCAGAAGCCTGAAGACCCAGCCTGTGTTCCATAGAAGGCTTCACAAAACAGGAAGGCTTCCAATGTGCTGTCACCTGTCTGGTGGCTCCAGTAATTCTAGTGATCCTGGCTCTCCTCAGACATAGACTTGTCTTGTTCTATCTGGCAGCTCTGCAGGCTTCACCATAAACCCAAAGTCCCCTGCTCCGGAGCCTGTGTGCTACAGAACTAAGCACACCACTGTTGCCTGTGCTATGGGACTGGGTCTGTACTGTAAGCTGCTAGGCATGGCTATGAGAACATTCAAGGTTACAGAATGCTGAGCCTCAGTTTACCCATCTGCAGAGTGGCCTGATTGGGTGTGGCTTACCTACGGGCTGCAGTGCCCTTACCTCTTCCTGATCCTCCTCACTGTCGTCGTCGCTCACAACGGGCTTGGCCCGGGATCCCCGGCTTGGCCGCCGCCGGCCCCCCTTCAGCCGATCCTGGGCCTTCTCCTTCCGGCCCAGTTTGATCTTTACCTTGACAGAGCGGGCTGAGGGGACAAAGGAAGTAAGCTGTTAAGTGAGGCAGCAGCTGGCACCTCAGGTCATCTGTGAGCTGCTGCAGCAGCTCTGACCCTCCCTTACTCACACTCAGACTCGGAGCCTTCCTCCTCGCCCTCCTCTTCCTCCTCACTTTCTTCGCCTTCACTGTCATCCTCCTTCTCAATTTTCTGCCGCACACTGGTGAAGACAGACTGCAGGACAATGGAGTCCTCGTAGATCTGAGGACACAGGGCTCATGTCACTTTCTACTGGAGCCCTGCTGTTCAGCAAGGCCACCCCACAACCCTTCCCTGGATGACAAAATGCCAGGGCTGGGAGGCTTGTGCACTGGTCAGTTTCTCCCTCATTGACTCTACTTTTCAAGGCCCTGATGTCTACAAAGATGAATGATATTAGAAATACACAATCCTATTGGCATGGTATTTCCTTGACCTAACAAAGCAAAACCCATCTCCTTGAAGCCACCCTTCCCTACCAGAGGCAGATGGGAACCACTGCCAGGCATTTCCCTACAGAAAAGACTCACGGCACAGTATGCCATTCAAGAGAGTAAACGGGAGTAAATATAAAACTGCAACACAGGCTGGAGAGATGACTCAGGGTTAAGTGCACCACTGCTCTGGCAGAGGACTCAGGCTCAGTTCCCAGCATCCACTGTGTGGCTCACAACCGCTTGTAGCAGTGGATCTGATTCTCTCTTCTGCAGGCGCCGGTTACACATGTAGTGCACAGAAACCCACACAGGCGGAACACCCATATATAAAATAAAAATAAACTGCAAGACAGACAACAAGGCTGGGAGGCAGCTGCATGTGACCCCTTTACTACTAAGGAAAGGGATACTGCTATCAGTAGCAGCGGAGCAGACCAAACTGCTCAAACCCCATTATTTGCAAGGGGATGAAGGGCAGGTGGCACAATGGCCATGTGGGTGCTCACCAAGGAACCCTCGAGGTTGAACGTCTGAGCATTCTGGCACAGCAGCATCACATCCTTCTCCAGGTCATTGAGGCTGCGATACTTGTGGTTGCGGATGCGTTCCTGTGGGGAGGGAGGGAGGCCTTACTCTGGGCAGCCATGACTTCCTGTCTGCCCATGCTGTGACTGCTGGGCTGACCTGGCTGTCCTCCCAGAGCCCCAGAATCTTGGCACCCACATACCTTGATCTTCTTGAAGTCCACGGGTTTTCGAATGAGCTCATAGTACTCAGGAAGCTCCTTGCGTGAGGGAAGCTGGATGAACACCTCACTGAGCTGTCTTCCACTACTGCTGCAAGGGGACAAGGTGTGTGTCATTCCCGGGCATTGGTTCATCACCCGAGAGAAACATTGTACCATCACACAAGGACAGGAGATGAGGATTTAAAGACTGGGAAGTTCTTTTATCTTTTTGAGGCAGTGTCTCATCATGCAGACAAGGCTGGATTTAAACTCAGAAATCGCAGCCTGCCTCCTCCCCAGTGCTGCAACTGAAGGTGAGCACCCCTCCGTTTAACCTGACAGATATTTAAGTGTTTGAGGCCTTCTGAATGCTGAAACATTCCTGGCGGATAACCAGGTCCAGTGGCAGGATGTGCAGTCTGGTGACATCTCTAAGCCTAGCCCTTGAAGGAGTGTCATACTGCCACCCTCAGGGTACCCACATCCAAGCCACTCTCATTCCCATCAACAGTCGCACTCTGTAGACCAGGCTGGCTTTTAACTCAGAGCTCCGACAGCCTCCTGAGTGCTGAGAGTGAAGTATGCACCACCACACCCATTTCACCTTAATTTTCATTCTATGCTTGAGCACGGAGAGTATTACAGGGACCTTCCTGAGGCCACAATTCCCACATGCGTCTCTCCTGCGGGTGGCACCAAGCCAGAGGCCTTCAGAGTACATGGCACAAACCCCAGGACAAAAGAGGAAGAGCACAGCTGTGTCCTGGGTTCACCAAAGGGACAAATGTTGCTTCATACAAGAGTGAGATGCAGCTTAGCATCACCCTGTCTGCCTGCTGTCCTGGCTCCTGTTCCTGAAGTGCTTACCTTAGTGGCCCCTACGGCAAGTGGGGCTGTGCAGAGAGCCCAAGGGGGCAGATGGGTCACACTCACTAGCAGAGGGAGGGAACCAGACTCCCTAGGGTCTCTGTGTGGCTGGTGTAAGGGGCCAGAATGCACCTGCCCCCTCACCAATCATCTGGCAGTTACCCAGCCCTTCAGAGTTCCCAAGTGGCAGGATAAGCCAGAGGAAACCATGCCCCCCAGGGCCAAGTGTTATTTATAGGGGGGGAGAGAGTCCCTGTGGCACTGAGCTCCACGACCACCTCTCCAGCACCCCTCTATCCTTCATTATCTTTCTTCTTTTCAAATAGCCAGGGTGGCCCTCCAACTTGCTGCATTGCCAAGAACGACCCTGAACTTCAACTCTTTCTCATTTTAAAAACCCTAAATTCAATAGGCTGGAGTGGTGGTGCACACCTTTAAATTCTAGTGCTCAACAGGCATAGGCAAGAGGATCTCTGAGTTGAGGCTAGCCCAGTCTACATGTTGAGTTTCAAGCCAGCCAGGGCTACATGGTGAGAACCTATCTCAAAAAAACAACCAACAAACCAAATGCCACGCTCCAGTGGATGTCCCATACCTACAAGACGATGGGCAGCACAAATGGGACTTGGTGGGTTATAAAAAAATGCAGAAAAAGTTAGGAGGTGGAGGTAGATAATGAGTTAGTGTGCGGGGTAGGAAGTGAAAATGATCAAAATACAAAAAGGTTTTGTTTTGTTTTAGAAAATTCTAAATGGCTAGGCCTGATGGAACTCATTGGTAGAGCATTTGCCTAGCATGCATAAGATCCTGGATTCCATTCCAGCACCTCAAAGAGAAGAAGAAAAACCCTCAGTGCATGGAGATCACAATCCCTGATACAGACATAAGAGTCCCTAGAATAGGAGGATGCTCTGTCCCTGCATGGCAGATGCCCTACAGAGCAACTGCCCCTGTACCACAACATCGCTTTGTTCCCTTCTGTTCCTCCATCCAGCAAGGAGGTGGGGTGGGGGTATACGGACACGCCTGGCCTACATCTAAGAACTAGCAGCTTCCATCTCCTTCAGGGCTACATCTTCAGTACTAGCCCTGTGTATGGGCCTCAAGGAGGTTATGGCACATGCCCTCCAGCCAAGACAGACCTGTCTGTAGTCTCCAGACAAAGGATGTGGCTTAGTCTACTTTCCTGCACTTGCATACATGCCTGCTGTGGGAGCTTCTTCTTTGCAACGGAAGAGCACTGGTCAGGTTTCCTCAACTGACCCTGCTGTGGAATTTCCTAAGCAGAGCCTTCTTGGTGCAGCAAGGATTCATTTAACTATGTTCCTTAGCAAGAACTGTTTCCCACTAACAGAAGACTGGTAGGCACAGACACAAATAGGACTTGCCAAGTTGGTGGGGCCCAGAAATTCAAGGCCAGTCTGGACAGCTCAGCAAACCCTGTCTCCATAAAAAAAAAGATGGCCCCAATGTGGCAGGCTCGCTTAAGAGCTATGCCATTATTCCTTCCATCCTCTGTCCCTTCTTTTGGTTTTTTGAGACAGGGTTTCTCTGTCCTGTAACTTGCTTGTAGACCAGGCTAGCCTTGAACTCACAGCAACCCGCCTGCCTCTGCCTCCCAGGTGCTGGGATTAAAGGTGTACGCCACCATTGCCTGGCTTCTTCCCTTATTTTTAAATTCAGTGACTCAAAAGCAGAAGGAAGAGTCTTGAGTATTTAGAAACAGTCATTTCCCCTTCAGCTCCACTTAGTGCCACTTTCATAATTCTGGAGACTCTTGCCTCCAGTTTCCCTGATGATGGGTTTTGGATGATGACTCATGGGCATGCCTATGAGGGATTGCCTTGACTGTGCTATTTGATGTAGGAAGCCCCAGCCTAAAGTGGGCAGCATCACTCCCTGGGGAAAAGTCCTGAACTGAGCAGGAATGGAGAAGCAGAAGAGAGGACGTGTGTTATTTCTTTCTGCTCTTGACTGTGCTTGTGATGGGACTAGTTCCTGTCTTGATTTCCTTCTCAACGACGACAGATTGGCCCTGAACTGTGACCTAAGGACACCCTTTCTTCCTTAGTTGCTTCTTGTCATGACATTTTATCACATTAATAGAAATGAAACTAGGCCAGGTGACAAAAGCTGCTGTAGCCATTCTCCTGTGGTCTGAAGATGGCATTCCCAGAGAGTGGCTGCCCCTCTAGAGCACTGGTTCTCATCTTCCGAGAGCTGAGACCTTTAATACAGTTCCTAATGCTGTGGTGATCCCAAACCATGAAACTATTTTGTTGCTACTTCAAAACAGTAATTTTGCCACTGTTATGAATCATAATGTAAATATGTGACCCCAAAGAAGTCAAAACCCACAGGTTGGGAACCACTATCTAGAAGAAATTGGTAAAATTTCTTTTTTGTTTCTGAGGTTCCTTCATCTACATACCCTGGGTGGCCTGCAACTCACTATGTAGCCCTGATGGCCTCAAAATCACCGCGATCCGCCCATTGTGCCACCTCTTCTAGAAATCTTCAAAGCACCAGGCCGAGCTTTGAAGCACGCAGGCCAGGCAGCGCTCTGGCACTGCTGACAGTGCAGTCCATGCTAGTCCTGTCAGCTGTCTCCCACACAGCAGCTGGCAGGGAGCTCAAGCCCACCTTGCATCCTGTGCTGAGCAGTGAAGGATGCTGACGGCAGCTGTATGTGGATAGAAAATTTGGCTTTGAGCAAGTTAAGTCATGCAGCTCACCAGGCAAGCAGACACTTCCCTTTGTGCAGAAACCTCACATGGTGATACTACGCCTTGGTGCTACCTGCCATTCTGTCTGCACGTAGGGCAGGTGGACGTTGGTCCTCTGCTATAAACCCATTTGGAAGATTGACAACTGTGATCAGACAGACTATGGATGGTACAAGATTCTTCCTGGGAAGGAAACATAGATGCATGTCCCAAGAACCCAAGGAGCAACAGCACCCCCTTGAGGAATGAGGGCCTCCACAGTCCCCTTCCCTTTTCAGAAACATGAGTGAACCCTAGGGCCGTGCAGAGGTAAGGCAAGGCACTTGCTGTGAGGACCTCTTGGACAGTCAATGCCATCATACTTTGGGGGCTAAAACTTCACAACTGTGATACAGTACCATGATGGATCCTTCTCCATCCCTGGGCCCACTTGCCAAGCTTCTTAGCCAGCGAGAGGTGAACATACCATAGCTTGTCACACACTTGAATAGTCTTCCAAGCTCTTCAAGACTCCCCAGGAAAGCCTATCACGCACCTCACCTTGATACAAATGTAACCTCAGGCCTGAGGTGCTGGCTTCGTCCACACATTTCTCATGATGCTTTACACATTCTAATCAAATGCTCAGCCATGGAGCTACACCCAGAAGTCTACGATCCTGCCACCCCTGTGTCCTGGAGTGGCTCTGGGGATGGGGATGGAATTAGCGGAGTCTATTCTCCTTATATTGATGTAGCTTCATGCTGAGAGTCACAAGTGACAAATCTTGCTACTGCTAACAGGCACTGGGACGCACCACTGGGTATTAAGAAGTCAGCAGCTGGACTGGGTGGCAGTGGTGCATTCAGGAGTCAGAGGCAGGCAAATCTGAGTTTGAGGCCAGCATGGTCTACAGAGAGTGTTCTAGCACACTCAGAGTTACAAAGAAAAACCCCGTCTCAACAAATCAACACACAAAAACAAAAATAAACAAAAAAGAAGACAGCAGCTGCTAGGGTGGTGGCAGCACACATCTTTAATCCAAGTACTCAGGAGGCAGAGGCAGTTGGATCTCTGAGTTTGAGGCTCTTCTGATCTACAGAATGAGTTCCAAGACACTGAGGGGCACGCAGAGAAGAAATCTTGAAAAAACCAAACCAAACAAACGAACAGAGCTGTCTGGATTGGGTTGGCTGATGGGCATGTCTGTGGAAAACTCTTGACTGTGTTAACTGAGTAGTTGGACCCTTCCAATGCAGAAAATTTCCTAGACTGTAAGCGTGAGAGTGAGCACGTGTGCATTCAGAGACCTGCTGGTGACCAGATGTAATGGATGTCAGAAGTAAATGGCTTTGACGTCCCTGCTCTGATGAGCTACAAAGCTGCTTTCTCCCTTAAGCTGTATCTTCAGGGTGTTTTATCACAGCAATAGGAATAAAATGAGGACACATATTGGAAAAGGAAGCTCCTGGTCATAGGAAACCCTTCCAGGCAGTAAGTTCGCAGCAGATAGATGGCCCGGGGCTATGACAGCTCT